GTTCACAGAGAAAATGCGCCTTCTCAGTTATAAACGTTCTCTGGTATTACCATGAGCAATATCGAATAATTTTTCAAGATTATTGCAGACAATTTGCTCTTTTCGTTCATTATTTCGACTAACAGATTTTTGCGCATCTCTGTAGTCGGTATAAAGCTTAATTAATTTTGCTACACACCGTGAATTTTCTTGAGTGGGAGTTTCTGCTTTTTCCCAAATTTGTTTAACTTCAGACACAACAATTGAACAACTGTCATTTACAGATTTGTTAAGATCTCTTGTATGATGAAATAATAATTGCAGAGCTTCTTTATTAGTTGATAATTTTTTTTCATTAATGGTATCAATTGTTTTATCGATTAGAAATATTTTTTTTCTCAGATCCATAGTTGATTGTTACTCATCGAATTCAATAAAAGAATGAAATTTTAGGTTATAACTGGTGACAAAATTGTTAGTATATTTTATAGTGTTTGGTATAAGTTCAATTGACACATTTATATTTCAAAATTCTCACTGATAATAATTTTGTACCTACATCACTGATCGCACATAATAATTTTAATTACTGATGATAATCAAAACAACTTCCACAACGTTATACTATAGAAATTTTTGCATGACCACTAACAACCAAAGAGTATAGGATGGAGGAGAAGCAGCCAATGAATTTAAAAAAAAATACTGCTGAATAAGTTTCAGCGCCTCTACAGAGTAAGGCATTCAATAAAATCTCAAATTGGCGCCACAATTCGATTTGAAAAATTTTATGTATAATGACGATAAAAACGAAATAAAGATAACAAGTTCATTTGTCTTCTTTGTATTAGTTGATAATCATAAACAAAATAAAAAAATAGAAAAATAATACATATTTGAAAAATTTTATGTATAATGACGATAAAAAACGAAATAAAGATAACGGTGACAGGTAATAAGATCAACGGAAATAAGGTCAATTGACTTTATTTCCCACCCTGGTGCGAAATAAAGTCAATTGACATTATTACCTTTTTAAAAACGAAATAAAATCCATTGACATTATTTCTCTTTCAAACATTAAATTTGCTTAGCTTCGCGGCGGCCGGCGTCAGCGCGCCATACCGCGCTCGCGTCCCACGTACCCCGCGCGACAGGCGCGCACACCACGTCACGCTACGCCGCTGCCCCCGCCCCCCTTCCCGTCTCCCGCCGTGCTGTAACGCAGGTAGATTTATTTTTTGTATACGTTGAAATAAAGTTTTTATATATTTTAAACATCGAGGGCTTATATTCAATAATACCCTCTATCTGCAGACTTTTAACAAAGCCACCTAAGCTTTAACTGTCATCGGTGATATTAATGCTACCTTATATAACGACAGGTAATAAGTCCCAGATGGTTTCTAAAATCACAAATTAGTTTTTGTGGAAATTGCAGATAGAGGGTATTAATGAATTCAAGCCCTCGATATTTCACATTTTTATATTTGTAAGTTATTGGAAGCAGGGATGCCAACTTGGCTCAAACCGTGCCATTTGTCCCTATTTTACTTCAAATGGCACTTAATTTTTCAACTTGGCGCAAAGTGCCAAAATGGCACTTTTGTAAAAAAAAATAACATTTCAATACATTTTTGTGAAATCCTTTGCGTGCACTTCTTTTTCTCAACTAGAATTTTCTAATTTATAAAGGCTATTCAACTGGTTTATCTTATTTTATCATTGCACTTTTGTTTGGAAAATGTAGCTTTATTTTATTGCTAAATGTGAATGATTAAAAGGAATGACACACCTTTTTTGGTACTTTTATTTTTCTATTTGGCACATTTTTGCACTTTTTTATCCTCAATATGGCACCTCATAACTGAGGATAGTTGGCAGCCCTGATTGGAAGATTTCTGCTGTGTTTTGGGGCAACAACTTATCTGCAGTAAAAAGCATATAATTTTTTTGTGTTTCAAAAGTGTGTGAAAACCAATCAATTAACTTATATGATCTCGGTTCCGATATTAAATAATCAATAATTGTTTATACCCGCATTTTGGCACATTGGCTCGTTGAATGTACCATATAATAAATAGTGTCGTCATTCTCCTTAGCTGCTTTTAAATGATGTCGTCACAAATTGCTGGCGGAGACATGAATACAGTGTAAGAAAATTCTTTTTCTATAATTGTTTCCTTATAGAAAGGTTAGTTTCTTTTTCCACCTTAGACATTCCGAATTCGTTCAAAATATGCTAATTTAAAACACAGAATTCTTTCAGTGTTCCTCCGGGGTTTTTGGACATGGACTGTTTCTTCATATTAATAGTGTTCGCTTTATTTTTGTGGAAACGAAACATGTTTTGCAAGTTATGGATCATTTTTACACTCTTTCTTCAAATATTTCTCGTATCGCAGCTGTGCGCAGGCGTTTAGTTTTTCGCATCGTGTTTTTACATTATCGTATTTTAATTTTTTTTTAATAAAATCAATTGGTGGTAGCTCATGATTGTGTGTGGATTAATATCACAACACCGAGGATTTGGCAATAACCTTTTTCGTATATTAAAAAACAACACTTACGGGACAATTTTTATTGTAAGAACAACATTTTTTTCTATGAATCGACATACTTTAAGCATTGTTGACGCTATTTCCATTTGAATGAGGAAATAGCGTCAATGACTTTATTTCCAATTTTTTGTTGACTCTATTTCGCTTTTGAAAAGGTAAATAAAAGGTGCGAAATAAAGTCAATTGACCTTATTTCCATTGACCTTATTACCTGTCACCGACAATATGTATTAAATAACACATCGAAATGAGTAATTTCAGGGTCTGAATTATATCAGAATCATCGTATCCGATATAGAAAACTTTAATAGTCCTAGCTAGCTACATTGTGAAATAATCAGATGACATGAGGGCACTAAAAAAAATTTAACATATGTAAACTAAAATTGTATTAACATAATAAAAATAATGATTTGGCAAGTTCTTATCGAATTTAATGTAAAATTTAAACGTTCTTAAGATAATACATATATTAATTATTTTTAAAAGGTAAATGTTAATACAACTATTTTATTTATAATCACATTATAATCTCCCACATCAAAAAACTTAGAATTGGGTAACGCCGCTTCGAATTTTTCACAATTGAGCAATTGTCAAAAATCTGCTTTTTAATCAACTACCTTCTTTTTGTATCATGGTTACAAGTAAACATCATTATAATATAACTCGCGAGAAATTTTTTCTCTCGTGTAATTGCCATTGCCAACGAGTCCTGAGAGCAGAACTGTCCATTCCCACGACAGCCGGTTCTACGTACCGGAATGACTCGGGTTTTACCCGACCAAAGGCTGTTGTTTCGGTGATCTAGCCCCGTTTACGAAGTATCTCAGAAGTTGGTCGTCCATAGGGCTACATTTGCTACGTATTCTTCTGCTCAGGGCTGGCATCGAGTCAAACCCAGGGCCAGAAACCTATACCTGCTGTGTATGCCAGAGACGACTACACCACAATTCCACCTCAGTCAATTGCAATGCTTGCGACGGGTGGAGTCACCCCAGAGTCTGCTCAAGACTACGGACCCATCGGCAGTGGACCACATCATTTGTGGCCCCCAGTCCTCCTGAGCAGCTCAGCACAAACACCACAGCACCACAACGGAACAGCACAATAAACCACACCACAACCACGACAGACTATACAACAGACACAACGACACAACCACCCACACGCCACCGCCAACAACTCCTGGTTCCTACTACAATCTGCACGGTATGTCAGACCAGGATATTCCGTAACGTGACATCAGTCAAGTGCAACACCTGCCTTGGCTGGTGCTACTTTAGGGCATGTTCAGGTCTGCGCACCACGCGATATTGGACGAGGAACTTCGAGGGCCCGTGTTGCGCCGCTCCATCGCAAACCCCAATTACGACGCCACCCACTACCATCACAGGGCGGCAACCTCCACAGCAGCGTACACAGTCAATGGCGGCGAGGCCACACACATCCCTTATACCCCGTTTAGCAACACGTCTCCCGAACCACATGAAGGTCCTTCAATTTAGCTGTAACGGATTTCAGAGCAAGATTGAAGAGATAACCGTCTTCATGAGAAGGCATGGTATATTGATAGCTGCGGCCCAAGAGACGAAGAATTGTGCCGGATAAAACGTGCACCGTCGAGATCGCGAGCAAGATAATGGTGGTGGCTTAGCGTTCATCACGCACCACACCGTGCAGTATCGTCTTATTGAAGCAGACATCGACCGTAGGGATACCACCCTAGAATGTCAGGACATTGCTATCCGCTCAGGCGATGTTGAGCTCGAAATATTTAACGTTTACGTACCCCCTGTCACTTGCTGCCCGGCAGGATATCATCCTGATATAGGTGCGCTCCTCAGAGGTGAAAACTGTATGGTAGTAGTTGGCTTTAATGCGCACCACGATCTTTGGCACTCAAGCCTGTCAAACGATCGTAGGGGAACAGACTTGGCTGAGCAGATAGACGATTCGACATACTGCACAATGAACGACGACGCACCCACCAGGATTATGGGCAGCTGCTGCAGCTCGCCATACATAACAATAGTCAACGCTGGTCTGATAAACATCGTATCATGGCGACCTATGTTGACTTTGGCATCAGACTATCTGCCTGTTTAGGCCAGCGGCCTAAATTTGCTACACATTTTTCGACCCACCCTAATGTATAACATAACTTAATTATTATGGTTGCTGTCGAGCAGCACACGGATTCCAACTTTCGCTATCGCTAAAATGCTAAAACGCTTAAGCTAAAATATTATCCGAATTTTTGGCGAACTCCGAAGATCGCGATTCTGTCCACCCTGTCGCTAAAAATCAAGGAATGAAACCGATTCAAAATAACGTTCCGGTTTGGGTTTCGGTTTTGCCAAGTGTTTCGGTTTCGGTTTTGGTTTCGTTCCTCAAAATTTATTTTGGTTTTGGTTTCGGTTTCGTTCCGGTTTCGGTTTTTCACAGAAATTTTGTTGATATTATTTAAATCCCAACGTCTTAAAGGTTGAGGAAAGAAAATTGAAAATTACAGTTCACTGATAATATCAACACTAGGTTCTTTCCCTAACAATCCGGACCGGATTTGGTAATTAGAGAATAAGAGAAACATTTTCTTTCAAAAATGGAACAAAGTCCAGAAGTACGGGAACGCAAAAACCACATTTCGTGCCCACAAGTCGAGAAACAGCTGATTCACGTTTTTTCTTGTTTTTGTCACTTATACCA